ATTGCTTTTGAGGAAGGTTGAAAGAATCTCGGGGACCCCTTGTGTCTAGTTTTTCAAGTAGTTTAAAAGAATCTAGGGGACGCCTTGAGTTTAGTTTTTGAAGTTGTTTGAAAGAAGCAAAGAGACCCCTTGTGTCTACTTTTTGAAGTAGTTTGAAAGAATCTCGGGAAGCTCTTGTGTCTGGTTTTTGAAGTAGTTTTAAGTATCTCGGTGACCTCTTGTGTATTATTTTTGAAGTAGTTTTAAGTATCTCGGGAACCTCTTTTGTCTGGTTTTTGGAGTAGTTTTAAGTATCTCGGGGACAACTTGTGTTTTGTTTTTGAAGTAGGTTGATAGAATCTCGGGGAACTCTCATGTCTAGTTTTTGAAGTAATTTGAAATAATCTCGGGGAACTCTTCTGTCGGGCTTTAAATAGTTCGAAGAATCTCGTGGATCTCTTAAGTTTTGTTTTTGACGTAGGTTGAAAGAATCTTGGGAATCTATTGTGTCCAGTTTTTCAAGTAGTTTGAAAGAACCTCGGAGATCCCTTGTGTCTTGTTTTTGAAGTAGTTTTAAGTCTCTCTGGGGCCCTGTTGCCTTGTTTTTTAGGTAGTTTTACGTATCTCGGGGACCTCATCTGTATTCCTTTTGAAGTAGGTTGAAAGAATCTCGGGGACCCCTTGCATTTAGTTTTTGAAGTTGTTTGAAAGAATCTCGGGGAACTCTTCGGTCTGGTTTTTAAATAGCTTGAAGAATCTTGGGGATCCCTTAACTTTTTGAAGTAGGTACAAAGAATCTTGGAGACCCCTTATACCTAATTTTTGAAGTAGTTTTATGTATCTCTGAAACTACTTGCATCTTGTTTTTGAAGTAGCCTTAAGTATCTCGGGGACCCCTTGTGTCTTGTTGTTGAATTATGTTGGAAGAATCTCGGGGATCCCTTGTGTCTTGTTTTGGAACTAGATTTAAGTATCTCGAGGACCTCTTGTGTACTGCTTTTGAAGTAGGTTGAAAAAATCTTGGAAAGCCCTTATATCTAGTTTTTGAAGTAGTTTTAAGTATCTACGGGACCTCTTGTATATTGGTTTTGAAGAAGGTTGCAAGAATCTCGGGGATCCCTTGTGTTCAGTCTTTGAAGTAGTTTAAAAAAAAATCGGAAAATACTAGTGTCTAGTATTTGAAGTAGTTTGAAAGAATATCGGAGAACTCTTGTGTCAACTTTCTGAAATAATTTGAAAGAACCTCGGGAACCTCTTGTGTCTGGTTTTTGAAGTAGTTTTAAGTATCTCAGGAACCTCTTGTGTCTAGTTTTCGAAATAGTTTTAAGTATCTCGGGGACCTTTTGTGTTTTGTTTTTGAAGTAGGTGGATAGAATCTCGGGGAATTGTCATGTCTAGTTTTAAGTATCTCTGAAACTACTTGTATCTTGTTTTTGAAGTCGTTTTAAGTATTTCGGGAACCCCTTGTCTCTTGTTTTTGAAGTACTTTTAAATATCTCGGAGAACCCTTGTGTTTTCTTTTTGCAGTAGGTTGAAAGAATCTTAGGGACTTCTTGTGTCTAGTTTTTGAAGTAGTTTGAAAGAAGCTCGAAGATCCCTTGTCTTTTGTTGTTGAATTAAGTTGAAAGAATCTCGGGGACCCCTTGTGTTTTGTTTTTGAACTAGTTTTACGTATTTTTTGAAGTGGGTTAAAAGAATCTTGGAGGTCCCTTATGTTTTGTTGTTGAAGTAAGTTGAAAGAATCTCGGAGACCCCTTGTGTCTTGTTTTTGAAGTAGTTTTAAGTATCTTTGTGACCTCTTGTGTACTGCATTTGAAGTAGGTTGAAAGAATCGATGGAGATCCCTTATATCCAACTTTTGAAGTAGTTTTAAGTATCTTTGGGAATTCTTGTGTATTGCTTTTGAGAAAGGTTGAAAGAATCTCGGGGACCCCTTGTGTCTAGTTTTTTAAGTAGTTTAAAACATTCTCGGGGACGCCTTGTGCCTAGTTTTTGAAGTAGTTTGAAAGAATCAAGGAGACCCCTTTTGTCTACTTTTTGAAGTAGTTTGAAAGAATCTCGGGAACCCCTTTTGTCTCTTGTTTTTGAAGTACTTTTAAATATCTCGGAGAACCCTTGTGTTTTCTTTTTGCAGTAGGTTGAAAGAATCTTAGGGACTTCTTGTGTCTAGTTTTTGAAGTGTTTGAATGAAACTCGGAGATCCCTTGTGTTTTATTGTTGAATTAAGTTGGAAGAATCTCGTGGACCCCTTGTGTCCTGTTTTTGAACTAGTTTTAAGTATCTCGAGGACTTCTTGCGTACTGCTTTTGAAGTAGGTTGAAAGAATCTTGGGGAGCCCTTATATCTAGTTTTTGAAGTAATTTTAAGTATCTACGGAACCTCTTGTGTATTGGTTTTGAAGAAGGTTGCAAGAATCTCGGGGACCCCTTGTGTCTTATTTTTGAAATAGTTTTAAGTATCTCGAGGACTTCTTGTGTACTGCTTTTAAAGTAGGTTGAAAGAATCTTGGGGACCCCTTATATCCAGCTTTTCAAGTAGTTTTAAGTATCTTTGGAATTTCTTGTGTATTGTTTTTGAGGAAGATTGAAAGAATCTCGGGGACCCCTTGTGTCTAGTTTTTCAAGTAGTTTAAAAGAATCTCGGGGACACCTTGAGTCTAGTTTTTGAAGTTGTTTGAAAGAATCAATGAGACCCCTTGTGTCTACTTTTTGAAGTAGTTTGAAAGAATCTCGGGAACCTCTTGTGTCTGGTTTTTGGAGTAGTTTTAAGTATCTCGGGGACCTCTTGTGTATTATTTTGAAGTAGTTTTAAGTAAGTATCTCGGGAACTTCTTTTGTCTGGTTTTTGGAGTAGTTTTAAGTATCTCGGGGACATCTTGTGTTTTGTTTTTGAAGTAGGTTGATAGAAACTCGGGAAATTCTCATGTCTAGTTTTTGAAGTAGTTTGAAAGAATCTCGGGCACCTCTTGTGTCTGGTTTTTGGAGTAGTTTTAAGTATCTCGGGGACCTCTTGTGTGTTATTTTTGAAGTAGTTTTAAGTAAGTATCTCGGGAACTTCTTTTGTCTGGTTTTTGGAGTAGTTTTAAGTATCTCGGGGACATCTTGTGTTTTGTTTTTGAAGTAGGTTGATAGAAACTCGGGAAATTCTCATGTCTAGTTTTTGAAGTAGTTTGAAAGAATCTCGGGAACCTCTTGTGTCTGGTTTTTGGAGTAGTTTTAAGTATCTCGGGGACCTCTTGTGTATTATTTTGAAGTAGTTTTAAGTAAGTATCTCGGGAACTTCTTTTGTCTGGTTTTTGGAGTAGTTTTAAGTATCTCGGGGACATCTTGTGTTTTGTTTTTGAAGTAGGTTGATAGAAACTCGGGAAATCCTCATGTCTAGTTTTTGAAGTAGTTTGAAAGAATCTCGGGCACCTCTTGTGTCTGGTTTTTAAATAGTTTGAAGTAGTTTTAAAAATCTCTGGGTCGTCTTGGGCATTGGTTTTGAAGTTGGTTGAAAGAATCACGGGGACCACTTGTGTATAGTATTTGAAGTAGCTTGAAAGAATTCCGGAGAACCCTTGTGTCAACTTTTTGAAGTAATTTGAAAGAATCTCGGGAAACTCTTGTGTCTGGTTTTTGAAGAAGATTTAAGTATCTCGAAGACCTCTTGTGTATTATTTTTGAAGTAGTTTTAAGTGTCTTGGGAACCTCTTGTGTCTGATTTTTAAAGTAGTTTTAAGTATCTCGGGGACACATTGTGTTTTGTTTTTAAAGTAGGTTGATAGAATCTCGGGGAACACACATATCTAGATTTTGAAGTAGTTTGAAAGAGTCTAGGAGATCCCTTATGTCTACTTTTTGAAGTAGTTTGAAACAGTCTCGGGAAACTCTTGTGACTGGTTTTTGAAGTAGTTTTAAGTATCTCGGGAACCTCCTATGTTTGATTTTTGAAGTAGTTTTAAGTATCTCGGGGACATCTTTTGTTTTGTTGTTGAAGTAGGTTGATAGAATCTTGGGGATTTCTCACGTCTAGTTTTTTAAGTAATTTGAAAGGCTCTCGGGCACCCTTGTGTATAGTTTATGAAGTAGTTTGATAGAATCTGGGGGACCTTTTGTGTCTGGTTTTTAAATAGCTTGAAGTAGTTTTAAAAATCTCTGGGACCTCGTGTGTATTGCTTTTTAAGCAGGTTGAAAGAATCTCGGAGACCCTTTGTGTCTATTTTTTGAAGTAGGTTAAAAGAATCTCGGGGACGTCTTGTGTCTAGTTTTTGAAATAATTTTAAAGAATCTCGGGGACCACTTGTGTCTTGTTTTTGAAGAAGGTTAAAAGAATCTGGGGAACCTCTTGTGTCTTTTTTTTTAAATAGTTTGATAGAATCTCGGGATCCTTTTTGTCTAGTTTTTGAAGTCTTGAATCTTGGAGTCTCGTCATGTATAATCTCTATGTTTTAAAAGATTCTACATCCACCATGTTACATTAGAGCGGCGTTTTCGCTGAATCTGATGCGTTTTTAATGTGAATGAACAAAGTCATGAACTCCATACCTGTGCGAATGACTCAGCTCTTATAGACCACTTTTGTAATCCTTTCCTAACATTCCGGGCAGACCAACCAACGTTTACAAACTTGTCAAACAAGAAATTGGAAAACACTGAATTCTGTGGCCGTGACTCCCGAGGAACTAAAAAACTGTGTTGCAGAAGACCAAACGCAATTTTCAGCTATAGAGAAATTTCACTTGACAAAACCTTCTGGAAGATGTAATATGAGTTTTTCTTATAAGACTAGTGTTTACTTTTCTATGTTTCTATTGTCTGTTGCTTATGAAAGTGTTAAAAACATCAAACCGTGCTTAATTGCGTTCGAAATAAAAATAAAAATAAAGTTTATTTTTATTTCGAACGCAATTTTCAATTTTCAAAGCATAATAATGTAGTTTATATTCTATTTTATCTACTTTTAGAATGCAAATAGTTTTTTCCTTCACAAATGGCGCGATAACTTTAATGTGTCGCACATTAGTATTTATCATTGTAGTAGACAGTCAAATAAAGGTTTACAAAGTGCCTACTTGTCAACACTAGCAACATGTACATCCTTCTACTTTTCATTGGTACAGCCAACTGTGCCAACATCCTGGGACTGTTCATGTACCCTTCTCTCAGTCACCAACTGGTCTACCACAACATCATGCAAGAACTATCCTTACGAGGTCACCACGTCACCGTTGTAACTACCGACCCCGTAAACAACCCCGCTTTTACAAACCTCACAGAAATCGACGTCCGCTGCGCCTACGACGTACTCAAAGTGAAAAACGTGCAAAAATTGTTTTTCAAGGACTTGACTGTGTACCAAGCGGTCGAAAATTTGTACAAACTTTTGGACGTTATCACCGACACAGAATTAAGAAGTCCTTCATTTCAAAAATTGCTTGGGGATTATAATAGCACGTTCGACTTGATTCTTGTGGAACTAATGCATCCAGTAATGTACGCACTATCTGAAAAATTTAAGGCACCAATGATCGGGATTTTGTCGATGCCCATTTACAGCGCCCAGTATGGTGCTGTTGGTAATGTGAACCATCCAGTTTTGTACCCCGATCATAGCATGAACCTTCCGGCTGGAAACATGACGCTGTGGGAAAAGGTTCAAAGTTTGGCGTTTTTTGGGTGGTACAGTTTCTACTACTGGAATGTGATTCAGTCGAAAGCTGACAAGCTGGCCAAGAAGTATATCGGGGATGTAGCATACATTTCCGAGTACGAGAAGAGTGTCAGCATGTTTTTGCTTAACAGACATTACCAAATACAAAGTTTGAGAGCAAACGTACCTGCAGTGGTTGAAATTTTACCTTTGGAGTACCACTCACCTAAACCTTTACCAAACGTACCAAAATAACACTTTTCGTTTCAAATAAAGAAAGTACTGTTTCAGGATTTGCAAAAAATTTTAGATGACGCTAAAACCGGTGTAGTTTATTTTAGTTTAGGAACCAACGTGAGAATGTCCCGTTTGGAACCACAAACCCGAGACAATATTTTACAAGCTCTGGCAGAACTTCCTTATCAGGTTTTACTCAAATCTGATGTTGATTTTCCTAAACCACCTACTAATGTGGTGATTAGAAACTGGTTTCCACAGGAAGACCTTCTAGGTGTGTTTCGCTCTTAAGGTTTTGTTTCTTCAATGTTATTTTTTAGCACATAGTAATGTTAAGGTTTTTGTGACACATGGAGGGTTGCATTCGCTTGAAGAAGCCGTGTCAAGGGAAGTACCCATTGTTGGTATACCGTTTTATGCTGATCAACCCGAAAATGTTCGCAAGTTTGTGGCTTTAGGGATAGGTGAACAAATCAATCCGACTTCTATTACTGCAACAGAGCTAAAAGAAGTTATTGTGAAAGTAGCTGGATCTAAGATGTAGGTGTCTGAGGTTGCCGGTAGACGATTTAACTTGAGGTTTCCAGGTATAAAGACAACATCAGGAAAGTTCGTCAGGTCGTTTTCGATAAACCAAGAAGTGGATTAGAAGATGTTATCTGGTGGTCCGAGTATGTGATTAGACATGGGGGTGCCAAACACTTGAAAAGTTCATCTGTTCACATGTCTTGGTTTACTTATTTGTTCTTAGATGTTATAGGGTTAATAATTAGTTTAGCAGGGTTATTTGTTATTTTAGTTCATTGTTTGATTATTGCATTGTTATACTTCCTAAGTTGAAATAGTGATAAAACTAAGTACAATATTAGTTTTGTTATTTTATATTCTTTTTATGTTTATTTTTTTCAATAAATTTCTAGATCAATTGATCAGGTCAGGTTAGATCGCTTTGTTACGACAGACTCGTAACCATTAAACCACGGTCAGGATGCCCTACGCTAAAATGGTTTTGATTTCGGTCTGGTGGCAGCAACATCGGAGTATTCGGAGCTCCGTTTCAGCTTAAGGTGGTATCACTCAGAATTGTCACACAACAGTTGAGCATAAATAACTCTTCACGAAGTCCAAACACTCTCTAATGTTCTCCCGTTTTAATAAAAATTTGTCTGGACCACTGGAAAAGGGTGGCAAAAAGCAAAAAGTCCAGAAATCGAAAAATCCAGAACGTGAAAAACCCAAAAGTCGAAATACTAAAAAATCCCAAAATTGAAAAATTGAAGAATCGAAAAACTGAGAAAACTCACAAAATTGAACAAAATATCCAAAAATTGTGAAATTAAAAAATTGAAAAATTGGGAAATCAAAAATCCGAAAAATTGCAAACCTAAAGAATCGAAAAATTGAAGAATCTGGAGCCTGAAATATCGAAAAATTGAGGAACTGAAAAACTGAAAATCGAAACTTTCGCAAGTCGAAAATGAGAAAACCAAAAAATAAATTAATTGAGAAATCGGAAAAATTCAGAAACGTCAAAATTTGAAAAATTGTAAAATAGAAATACTGAAGAACTGGAAAATCAAAAAATCCAGAAATCCAAAAATCTAAAATTTAAAACATTGAACAATCGAAATATCGCAAAATTGAAAAATGGAGAAATCCAAACATCAAAGAATCAAAAAAGAAAAATTCGAAAATCTAAAACTTAAAAATCGAAAAACTGAAAAATCGACAAATTGAAACTCCAGAATTTAAAAAAATTGAAAAATCGAAACATCGAGAAATAGAAAAAAAATTGAGAAATTGATAAATTCAGAAATTCAGCAATCAAAACATCCAAACGTCTGAATTCGATAAATCGAGAAATAAAAAAAATTGAAAAATTTTAAAAAAGGACAAATTAAAACATCGAAAATTAAGAAACCGAAGTGTAAAACTGTCGAAAATTTGAGAAATCTAAAGTTTAACGAAAAATTGAAAATCCAAAAAGTAAAAAAGGGGTGGAAACCCAAAAACTGCAAACTGAAAAAATTTTAAAATTGGAAAATCGACGAATTGGAATCGATGGGCCTGAAAATTTGAAAAATTGAATAAACGAAAAATTGTGATATAAAATCGAGAAAATGAAAAATAAAAAATTGGTCTAAAGAGTTTAGACAGTACTTCCCTCGCTGTCGGAAACTTGACGACTGCATGCCTATTGTGTTTTTTTTCTCATTACATTTTTGTAGTGGGAATTTAAACAAAAATTGCGATGACGTCATCAACATTTTTGCAAGGACACGTATATCAGTTGGGATAGATGTAGTGTAATACTAAGAATAAAATTATTATATTCTCAAATTTTCGGGAAAATGAATTGGGTCGTTTTGAATATTGATTTGTAATAATCAATAAAATAACGAAACAATTTACTCACGTATACGTCTCAGAGGCAACTGAAAATCGTGTATGTATAAACATTCTTAATTTAAGATGACAGGCGTAACAGCATACGTGAGAGTCAAACAGAGAAACTGTAAACAAAACGACCATCGGTTTTATTGCTTCGACTTCCGCTTATTATATAAAACATTGGGTTTTATTTTAATTCTTGACGGTGAAATTCACAATTGGTTGATTATAAACATGTCTATTTCACATTCGCGGAACCAAGTGAACGCATAAAACAAATGCAGGTCTGTAATGTTAAAGTCGATGTAAATAAGCGTGCTACCCTTATGTTTCAACCGAGTTTTTCCTTTAACAAATTTTGTGTCTACCAAATTGGGTTGGTTGGGGTGTAATACTAATAATAAGTGTTGCCTTTAATTTAATCAATAAAATAAATTGACTTCATTAATTTTTTTGAACCACCTCTTAAGAAAATCTAAAAAAATAGAATGGAATGATAAATCACAAGTACAAACTCATCATATTTTTTGCATTTTAGATAGGATTTATTTAGCAAAATTTAAGGGTGACGTCATCAATTTTTTTAGGAGGGATGAACAAATACATTTTGAACAAAAGTTTACCATGCTTATAATAACTTTAAAATATTCCCAAGATTTCAAAGCATTCGGTTTTCTAATTCCTGATTAAATCGATAAAATAAATTCACGCCTTCATTAATTTTTTTGAGTCACCCTGCATATGCAAATCCAAAAATATGAATGGAATGATAAATCACAAGTACAGACTCATCATATTTTGTACATTTTAGATACGATTTATTCGGCAAACTTTTGAGCTGACGTCATCAGTTTTTTGTAGAAGATAACCAAATATATTTTGACTAAAAATTTATTATGCTCTTTATAACCTTAAAACATCTGCAAGATTTCAAAGCATTCGGTTTTGTAGTTCCTGATTAAATCAATAAAATAAATTTACGCATTCATTAATTTTTTTGAGTCACCCTGTATATGCAAATCGAAAAAATTTGAATGGAATGATAAATCACAAGTACAGACTCACCATATTTTGTACATTTTAGATAGGATTTTTTCAGCAAAATTTTGTGGTGACATCATAAATTTTTTAGGGGGGACGACCAAATACGTTTTGATCAAAAATTTACCATGCTTATGATAATTTTAAAATATCTTCAAGATTTCGAAGCATTCGGTTTTGTAGTTCCTGAGTAAATCAGTAAAATAAATTTACGCTTTCATTTATTTTCTTGAATCACCCTGTATATGCAAATCCAAAAAATATTAATGGAGTGATAGATCACAGGTACAGACTGATCATATTTTGTACATTTTAGATATGATTTATTCGGCAAATTTTCGAGCTGACGTCATCAAGTTTTTGGAGGGGATAAGCAAATATATTTTGACTAAACATTTATTATGCTCTTTATGACCTTAAAACATCTGCAAGATTTCAGAGCATTCGGTTTTGTAGTTCCTGATTAAATCAATAAAATATATTTACCCATTCATTAATTTTTTTGAGTCACCCTGTATATGCAAATCCAAAAAATATGAATGGAGTGACAGATCACAAGTACAGACTCATCATATTTTGTACATTTTAGATATGATTTATTCCACAAACTTTTGAGCTGACGTCATCAAGTTTTTGGAGGGGATAAGCAAATATTTTTTGACTAAAGATTTATGATGCTCTTTATAGCCTTAAAACATCTGCAACATTTCAAAGCATTCTGGTTAGCAGATTAAAAATTAAATTTCAAAATGTTGTTTTATAATTTTGATTTTTTTTCCAAAAATCTGGACGTTTCGGGTGAAAAGTCGATTCAGAGTTGTAAACTACATGTGTAGGACTATGTTATTTTATACAATTGAAAACCCATTTACTATGTACAATTTTGAAGTGACGTCCTCGCATTAGTGGTGGGGATGATTAGACAAATTTTGGTTAGCGTTTTACCATCTACATGATATTCTTAATATAAGTACAAAATTTCACAACAATCGGTCGAGTACTTTCGGAGATTATCTGTCTAATAAAAATCCGGGACGGCAGACGGACAGACGGACGGACAGACGGACGGACAGACGGACAGACAGACGGAAATGGGAGACCTATTTCTTCGTCTTCTAGGGGTCATGAAAGATCGAGAAAACGTAAAAGTAGAGAGTCGGCCGACGGACTCGATTACAATACTTCCTTTGCTTACGCTCGGGAAGTAAAAATCGAGAACTTGAAAAATTGAGGAAACGAAAAAATCGAAAATGACAAAAATTAAAAATTGAGAATGTGAGAAAGAGAAAAATGAGAAACTGTAATATCGAAAAATTCCAAAATTAAAAAATTGCAAATCAAAAAATTGAAAAATTTAGAAGCCAAGAAACTGTAAAAATTAAAAATTAAAAATAAAAAAACCAAAAAGTTTATCATGAAACTTGAAAAATGTCAAAAGTGAAAATCAAACACGAAAATTTGAAGAAACGAAAATCGAAAATTTGAAAAATCAAAAGATTAAAAACTGAAAAACTTAAAATATCGAAAATTTGAAAGATTGTGAAAAGCGAAAGTTCAAAAAACGAAAAATTGAAAATCCAAAAAGTAAAAAGTTGAAGAATCGAAAAATTCAGAACGTGAAAAACCCAAAAGTCGAAATACTAAAAAATCCCAAAATTGAAACATTGAAGAATCGAAAATATGAGAAAACTCACAAAATTGAACGAAATATCCAAAAATTAGGAAATTAAAAAATTGAAAAATTGGGAAAGAGAAAAGTTGAAAAATTGCAAACCTCAAGAATCGAAAAACTGAAAAATGTGGAGTCTGAAAAATCGAAAAACAATTAAAAATCGAGAATGCGAAAAATGGAAAAATGAGAAACTGTAACATTGAAAAATTTGGAAGTCGACAATTTGTAAAATTGAAAAATCAAAAATGAAAAAACGAAAAAGTGTATAATAAAAACTTAAAAAATGTACAAAGTGAAAATCAAACTTGAAAATTTGAAGAAAAATTGAAAAAACCTGAAAATTTAAAAAAATTAGTAAAGGAAAAATTGTAAAATTGAAAGAAACAACAAAACATAAAAGGAAAATTGTGATATAAATTCGGAAACAAAAAATTGGAAAACGGAAAAATGAAAAATTGAGAAACTGAAAAATCGAAAAATGAAAATCTGTTATATTGAAAAATTGCCAAGTTGAGAAACTGATGCTAACCAAAAAATTGAAGAAACGAAAAATTGAAAAGTTTGGAAGTCGAGAAATTGTAAAATTGAAAAATCAAAAATAAAAAACGAAAAATTACAAAATGAAAACTTGAAAAATCTTAAGAATCGAAAAAGTGAAAAATCAAAAAAAAAAGAAATATGTATTATGAAAAATTTAAAAATTGAAAAATTGACGAACTGAAAATTCTAAGCCTGAAAATTTGAAGAATTGTAAAATCGAAAAAAAACACAGAAAATAAAGGAAATGAAGAAACGGACAATTGTGATATAAAACGAGAAAATAAAAATTATAAATGCGCCACACTGAAAAATAAAAATCGACAACATGAAAAATTGTGGAAACGAAAAATTGAGAAACTGAAAATTCGAAAAATTGTAGAAACGAAAAATTAAAAAAATGAAAATTTGTGACAAAAAATCGAGAAAATGAAAATTAAAAAAATCGAAAAATGAGAAACTGTAATATCGAAAAATTTCAAAATTAAGAAATTGCAAATCGAAAAATTGAAAAATTTCGAAGTCAAGAAACTGTATAAATTAAAAATTAAAAATTAAAAAACCAAAAGTTTATGATGAAAACTTGAAAAATGTCAGAAGTGAAAATCAAACATGAAAATTTGAAAAATCGAAAGAAAAAGAAAAACTTCAATTTCTAAAAACTGAAAAATAATAAAAAAAGAAATATGTATTGTATTTTTTTTTGATCTACAGATTTATTATTACAACTGAACCCTGAAAATAAACTCTAAAAAAAGGAACGTTTAGAATACGTGCCACAATATAGTTTCAACATTATTTGAACTTATTCACACTGTTCAATACTAAAACAATCAGACTATAAATTAAAAGACCAATTACTGCCACTACGATGATCATAAAGACAACAACATCTAAGAACAAATAAGTAAACCAAGACATATGAACAGCTGGATTTTGAAAGTGTTTCGTATCACCATGTCTAATCACATACTCGCACCACCAGATAGCATCTTCCAATCCACTCTTTGGTTTATCGAAAACGACCCCACGTAACTTCTTGATGTTGTCTTTATACCTGGAAGACTCAATTTTATTCGTCTACCTCCAAACATCAGACACCCACATCTTAGATCCAGCTACTTTAACAATAACTTCCTTTAGCTTTCTTGCAGTAATAGACGTCGGATTAATTTGTTCACCTATCCCTAAAGCCACAAATTGGCGAATATTTTCAGGTTGATCAGCGTAAAACGGTATACCAACAATGGGGACCTCCCTAGAAACGGTTTCTTCAAGCGAATGCAACCCTCCTTGGGTCACAAAAACCTTAATCTTACTATGTGCTGAAAAATAACCTTGAAGAAACAAAACCTTTGGAACGAAACACACCTAGAAGGTCTTTCTGCGGAAACCAGTTTCTAATAACCACATTAGTGGGTAATTTAGGTAAATCAACATCACATTTGAGTAAAACCAGATAAGGGAGTTCGGCCAGAGCTTGTAAAATATTGTCTCGGATTTGTGGTTCCAAGAGGGACATTTTTACGTTGGTCCCTAAACTAAAATAAACCACACCGGTTTTAGAGTCATCTAAAATTTTTTGCAAATCCTGAAACAGTACTTTCTTTATTTAAAACGAAAAGTGTTATTTTGGTACGTTTGGTAAAGGTTTAGGTGAGTGGTACTCCATTGGTAACATTTCAACCACCGCAGGTACGTTTGCTCTCAAACTTTGCATTTGGTAATGTCTGTTAAGCAAAAACATGCTGATACTTTTTTCGTACTCCGAAATGTGTGCTACATCCCCGAAATGCTTCTTGGCCAGCTTATCAGCCTTCGGTAGTACCACATTCTGGTAATACAAACTATGCCACACAAAAAACGCCAAACTTTGAACCTTTTCCCACAGCGTCAAGGCTCCAGCCGGAAGGTTTATGACTAGATCTGGGTACAAAACTGGATGGTTCACATTACCGACAGCATCATACTGGGCGCTGTAAATACTCATCGACAAAATCCCAATCACTGGTGCCTTAAATTTTCCAGATAATGCGTGCATTACTGGATGCATTAGTTCCACAAGAATCAAATCGAACGTCCTATTATGACCCCCAAGCAATTTTTTAAACCCGGGACTGCTTAATTCTCTGTCTGCCACGATTTCCAAAAATTCGTAAAAATTTCGCATTATTTCGTACAGGGTCAGGTCTTTGAAAAACATCTCTTGGACATATTTTTCTTCCAGAACGTCGTAGGCGCAGCGAATGTCGATTTCTGTTAGGTTTGTTAAAGCGGGGTTGTTCACGGGGTCGGGTGTTACCATAGTGACTTGGTGACCCCGTAACGACAGTTCTCGCATGACTTTGTAGTAGACCATTTGGTGAGTGATGGAAGGGTACATGAACACCCCCAGGATGTTGGCACAGTTGGCTGTACCAATGAAAAGTAGAGGTGTCACAATGGACATCTTTGCTGGTCGACTGGTTTGTGAACCCTTTGTTCGACTGTCACTACAATAATAAAGGGATAGAATGCGAATATAAATATTTATATTACGACTGTGTGGCTAAAACTCGTTAAGAATTTAAAATATATTTTTATGTTGTGGACAGTTTTATGTTTTTGTTTTCATTTCTTTTTTTTTTTTTGTGTTAATAAACTATAAAGGTAACTAATGTTTGCTGCGTATCTATACACTACATCAATATTCCAAACATTAATTCTTTAAATTGCGAATAATAATTGACCATTGCGTGAATGTTGGAAAAACACTTCTTATATATTAGCTTATAGTGCAATAGTGATAAATAATAAAAACAAAGTTCATAAACATTTAATTATCTCTGCACGTGTAGACCATTTCCCATCTATGTGTACTTTTACCATTGCTAATGTAAACTAAGTATTACTAACACGGTTAGACCGTATTTTTTATTTATTTTAACAATGAAGTTTAAGTTTAATTAAATATACGAAGCATACACATTGGAAACATAGAAGAGTAAATAATAGTCTTGTAAAAACAATTATTGTTACGCCAAGGTAAGAAAACCACTAAATATCGACATTAAGACTCCTCAAATGTGCAGCTCCTTTATGACGAATGATGTAATCCGTTGAATCTGGAGTCTTGTCGAGTAAAATTTCCACAATTTCTAAAACTCTGTCTCTACATCTGCAAAATTTAAGGAACACCCGAAATTCTTTCAAAGTGCTTCAGAAACAAAACACAGAAGGTCCACGGGATACTTAAAATTACTTCAAAAACAAGACACAAAAGGTCCCCGAGATTTTTTCAAACTACTTCAAAATGTAGACACACGGGGTCCCCGAATCGTTTCACCTTACTTCAAAAACAAAACTGACCCAAGATATTTAAAACTGCTTCAAAAACCGGACACAAGAGGTCCACGAGATTCTTTCAAACTACTTCAAATACTAGACACAATAGGTCTCCGAGATTTTGTCAAACTACTTCAAAAATCAGACACAAGGCATCCTTGAGATTCTTTCATCTTACTTCAAAAACAAAATATAAGAGGTCCCCGAGATGCTTAAAATTTCTTCAAAAACCAGACACAAGAGGTGCCCTAGATTCTTTCAAACTTCTTCAAAATGTAGATACAAAGGGTCCTTGATATTCTTTCAACCGATTTAAAAAAAAAACCACGGGGTGTGCCCGAGATACTTAAAACTTCTTCAAAAACCAGATACAAGAGATCTCGGAGAATCTTTCAAACTATTTCAAAAACTAGACACATGAGGTCCCCGAGATTTTTTCACCCTACTTCAGAACCAAAATACAAGGAGTTCCCGAAATACTTTCAAAATAATTCAAAAAGTAGACACAAGGAGTCCCCAAAAATCTTTCAACCTACTTCAAAATAAAAAAAAAAGTAGTCCTCGAGATACTTAAAATTGCTTCAAAAACAAAACACAAAGGGTCGCCAAGATTTTTTAAATCTACTTAAAAAAAAAACACAAGGGGTCCCCGAGACACTTAAAACTGCTTCAAAAACCAGACACAAGAGGTGCTCAAGATTCTTTCAAACTAGTTCAAAAACTAGACACAAGGGGACCCCGAGATTCCTTCAAAGTACTTCAAAAACTAGACACAAGTGTTCTCCGAAATATTTAAAACTACTTCAAAATACGCCAAAAACTAGATACAAGGGGACCCCGAGATTCATTCAAATTTCTTCAAAATGTAGACAGAAAGGGTCCTTGAGATTCTTTCAACCTACATCAAAATCAAAAACACGGGCGGTTCGTGAGAAAATTAAAACTACTTCAAAAACAAGACACAAGAGTTCCCCGAGATATATAAAACTACTTCAGAAATAAGACACAAGAGATCCCCGAGTTTCTTTCTAACCACTTCGAAAATTAGACACAAGGGGTCTCTGAGATTCTTTCAACCTGGTTCTGAAAAAAAGCACAAGTGGCTGCCTAAATACGTCAAACTACTTCAAAAGTGATCCTAGAAATTCTATACAAACTACTTCAATAAGCAGACACAAGAAGTAGGCGAGATTCTTTAAAATTACTTCAAAAACTAGACACAAGTAGTCCCCGAGATACTTAAAACTACTTCAAAAACAAAACACAAGGTGTCCCCGCGATTATTTCATCCTACTTCAAAAATAAAACACAAAGGGTCCCAGAGATACTTAAAACTGCTTGAAAAACCAGACACAAAAAGTGCCCAAGATTCTTTCAAACTACTTCAATAACCAGACACAAGGGGTCCCTAAGATTCTTTCAAACTACTTCAAAATGTAGACACACCGGATCTCCGAGATTCTTTCAACCTACTTCAAAATCAAAAACACAAAGGATCCCCAAGATACTGCTATCGAAAGCTCGTCTTTCCCGTCAGTATGGAAACGTGCAAAAATATGCCCAATTTTGAAGAAAGGAGATCCCTCCATAATTCCTAACTACAGGCAAATTGCTATTTTATCGAACTTCTCAAAAGTGTTTGAGCAGGTGCTCTATTCAACAATTTATAATCATGTTAAGAATTACATCTCACCACAACAGCATGGTTTTGTTTCTGGCCGCTCAACAGTTACAAATCTTGCTACAGTTACTCAGTATCTTGCTGAAAAGATTGATAATCGTGGTCAGGTCGATATTATTTATACGGATTTTAGCCGAGCTTTTGATACAATTCAGCATAATATCCTATTACATAAACTTAGCTACTTTGGACTTACTGATAGTGCTCTGGCACTGATTCGATCTTATTTGTACGATCGAGTTGCTTATGTTTTTTACAATGGTTACGCCTCAAGTGAATTCATCGTCGCATCTGGGGTTCCGCAAGGGTCCAACCTTGGTCCTCTATTGTTTATTCTATTTATTAATGATCTTCTATTGCAACTGTCTTGCCCAGCTTTAGCTTATGCGGATGATGTAAAACTTTATCATGAGATCTCTTCAGTGGGAAATATGGACTTGCTTCAATTAAATTTAAATAGGATTATTCAGTGGTGCGAAAGGTTCAAACTCAATCTGAATGTGGATAAGTGTTGTACGGTTACTTATACGCGGACTCTGACACCCCTTAATACCTCTTACTATATAGATGATCATTTGCTCGAGAAAAAGCATAGTATGAAAGACCTTGGAGTGTGGTTCGATGCAAAACTCACTTTTCTTCCACATCTTGACAATGTGTGTAGTTCATCGCTTAAATCGTTGGGCTTTGTCATGCGTATCAGCAAATACTTCTCAGATATCAGTTTGATCAAAAAACTTTATTATGCCTATGTTTTGAGCAAAGTTGAATATGCCTGCCTTATATGGTGCCCCATTTATGCATCGCATGCAATTGCCTTGGATAAAATTCATCGTCGTTTTTTGAAGTTCCTGTCATTTAAGGTGGATGGCATTTACCCTGAGATCGGTATTAATCAACTTCAGCTATTACATCGACATGATATGGTCTCGTTGAGCTATAGGAGGGATCAAAGTTACGCTAAATTCGTATACAAACTGTTGCATAATCAAATCGATTGTGAATTTTTACTTTCAAAAATTCCAATTTATGTTCCACGTATCTCTTCGAGATCTGATGTTTCATTTCGTCCCCCGGCTGCAAGAACTGATGTTCTACGCAGAGCTCCCGTCAACATCATGTGCAAGGCGGCTGATCGCATCTTTGACGACATTTTTGCTTAATTTCTGCTTAAAATCTTAATTTTTCTTTTTAATTTTTTTATGTTCTCTGTTAATTGTACAATATACATATTTTCAGTTAATTTATATTTGTAAAATATTATTACTTTATTTATTTGTCCTATAATTGGTTATTCCGTTGGACAATAAAGACTATTATTATTATTATTATTATTAAAAAAAAACTACTTCAAAAACAAGACACAAGGGGTCCCCGAGATATTTAAAACCACTTCAGAAACAAGGCACTGGGGGTCCCCGAGATTCTTTCTAACTACTTCAAAAATTAGACACAAGTGGTCTCTGAGATTCTTTCAACTTGGTTCAGAAAAAAAGTACGAGTGGCCGCCTAAATACTTCAAACTACTTCAAAAACCAGACACGAGATATCCTAAAAATTCTATCAATCTACTTCAATAACCAGACACAAGAAGTTCCCGAGATTCTTCAAAGCTACTTCAAAAACTAGACACAAGTAGTCCCCAAGACACTCAAAACTACTTCAAAAACAAAACACAAGGAGTCCCCGAGATACTTAAAACTACTTCAAAAACGAGACACCATGGGTCCCCGAGATAGATATTTAAAACTATTTTAGAAACAAAACACAAGGGGTCCTCGAGATAGTGAAAAATGCTTCAAAAACCAGACACAAGGAGTGTTCTAGATTCTTTCAAACTACTTCAAAAACTAGATACAAGGGGCCCCCAGATGGCTTCAAACTGCTTCAAAAACTAGACACAAGTAGTCGCCGAGATACATAAAACTACTTCAAAAACCAGACACAAGGGGTCCCCGAGATATTTAAAACTACCTCAGAAACAACGCACAGGAGGGTCCCCGACAAACTTAAAAATGTAGACACAAAGGGTCCTTGAGATTCTTTCAACCTACTTCAAAAACAAAACACAAGGGATCCCCGAGATACCTAAAACTACTTCAAAAACCAGACACAAGAACTCCCCGAGATTCTTTAAAACTACTTCAAAAAATAGACACAAGTAGTCCCCGAGATACTTAAAATTATTTCAAAAACAAAACACAAGGGGTGCCCAAGATTCTTTCAAACTACTTCAAAAACTAGAACGAGGGGACCCCCAGATTCTTTCAAATTTCTTCAAAATATAGACACAAAGGGTCCTTGAGATTCTTTCAACCTACTTCAAAATGTAGACACGAAGGTTCCACGAGGTTCTTTCAACCTACATCAAAATCAAAAACACGGGGGGTTCCCGAGATATTTAAAACTACTTCAGAAACAAAACACAAGGGGTCCCCGAGATGCCTAAAACTACTTCAAAAACCAGACACAAGAGGTGCTCAAAATTCTTTCAAACTACTTCAAAACTAGACACAAAGTGTCCCCGAAATTCTATCAAACTACTTCAATAACCAGACACAAGAGCTCCCCGAGATTTTTTTAAACTACTTCAAAAACTAGACACAAGTAGTCCCCGAGATACTTAAAATTACTTCAAAAACAAAACACAAGGGGTGCCCAAGATTCTTTCAAACTACTTCAAAAACTAGAACAAGGGGACACCCAGATTCTTTCAAATTTCTTCAAAATATAGACACAAAGGGTCCTTGAGATTCTTTCAACCTACTTCAAAATGTAGACACAACGGTTCCCCGAGATTCTTTCAACCTACATCAAAATCAAAAACACGGGGGGTTCATGAGATATTTAAAACTACTTCAGAAACAAAACACAAGGGGTCCCCGAGAAACTTAAAACTGCTTCAAAAACCTGACACAAGAGGTGTTCAAGATTCTTTCAAACTGTTTCAAAAACTAGACTCAAGAGGGCCCCAAGATTCCTTCAAACTACTTCAAAAACTAGGCACAAATAGTCCCCGAGATACTTAAAACTACTTCAAAAACCAGACACAAGAGGTGCCCAAGATTCCATTAAACTACATCAAAAACCAAACACAAGGGGTCCCCGAAATATTTAGAATTACTTCAGAAACAAGACACAAGAGGTCTCCGAGGTTCTTTCCAACTACTTCAAAAATTAGACACAAGGGATCTCTGAGATTATTTCAACTTGGTTCAGAAAAAAAGCACAAGTGGCTGCCCAAATACTTCAAACTACTTCAAAAACCAGAGACAAGAGATGCTAGAAATTCTATCAAACTATTTCAATAACCAGACACAAGAACTACTTCAAAAACTAGACAAGAGGGGTCCCCCAGATTCTTTCAAATTTCTTCAAAATGTAGACACAAAGGGTCCTTGAGATTCTTTCAACCTACTTTAAAATGTAGACACAAAGGTTCCCCGAGATTCTTTCAACCTACATCAAAATCAAAAACACAGGGGGTTCCCGACATATTTAAAACTACTTCAGAAACAAAACCCAAGGGGTCCCCGAGAAACTTATAACTACTTCAAAAACCAGACAAAAGAGTTGCCGAAGATTCTTTCAAACTACTTCAAAAACTGGACACAAGGGGACCCCGAGATTCTTTCAAACTTCTTCAAAATGTAGACACAAAGGGTCCCCGAGATATTTAAAACTACTTCAGAAACAAGACACAAGAAGTCTCCGAGATTCTTTAAAACCACTTCAAAAACTAGACACAAGTAGTCCCCGAGATACTTAAAATTACTTCAAAATATAGACACAAATTGTTCTTGAGATTCTTTCAACCTACTTCAAAATGTAGACACAAAGCTTCCCCGAGATTCTTTCAACCTACATCAAAATCAAAAACACGGGGGGTTCCCGAGATATTTAAAACTACTTCAGAAACAAAACACAAGGGTTCCCCAAAATTCTTTCAACTACTTCAAAAATTAGACACCAAGTGTCCGAGAAATTCAATCAAACCACTTCAATGACCAGACACAAAAGGTCCTCGAGATTCATTCAAACTACTTCAAAGACTAGACACAAGGAGTCTCCAAGAAGCTTTCAACTTACTTCCAAAAAAAAAGAGTAGTCCCCGAAATACTTAAAACTACTCTAGAAACAAGACATAAGAGGTCTCGGAGATTCTTTCAACCTACTTCAAAAACAAAACACAAGGGGTCGCCGAGATACATAAAACTACTTCAAAAATCAGACACAAGAGGTGCCCAAGATTCTTTCAAACTTCTTCAAACACGAAACAAAAGAGGTCCCCGAGATTCTTTCAACCTACTTCAGAACCAAAATACAAGGAGTTCCGAAGCTTTTTAATACTACTTCAAAAACAAAACACAAGGAATTATCGAAATTCTATCATAACACCTCAATAACCAGACACAAGAGGTCCCCGAGATACTTTAAACTACTTCAAAAACAAAACACAAGAGGTCCCTGAGATTCTTTCAACCTACTTCAAAAACAAAACACAAAGGATCCCCGAGATACTTAAAACTGTTTCAAAAACCAGACACAAAACGTGCCCAAGATTCTTTCAAACTACTTCATAAACTATACACAAGGGGGCTCCTAGATTCTTTCAAACTTCTTCAAAATGTAGACACAAATGGTCCCCGAGATATTTAAAACTACTTCAGAAACAAGCCACAAAAGTTCCCAGAGATTCTTTCTAACTACTTCAAAAATTAAAACCAAGGAGTCTCCGAGATTCTTTTAACTTGGTTCAGAAAAAAAGCACAAGTGGCTGACTAAATACTTCAAACTACTTCACAAGGGCACCCCGAAATTATATCAAACTAGTTCAAAAACTACACACAAGTAGTCCCCGAGATACTTAAAACTACTTCAAAAACAAAACACGAGGGGTCCCCAAGATACTTAAAACTGCTTCAAAAACCAGAAACAAGAGGACCCCGAGATTCTTTCTAACTACTTCAAAAATTAGACACAAGGGGTCTCTGAGATTCTTTCAACTTGGTTCAGTGAAAAAGCACAAGTGGCAGCCTAAATACTGCAAACTATTTCAAAAGCCACACACAAGAGATGCTAGAAATTCTTTCAAACCACTTCAAAAACTTTGACTGCACCAATGAAAAGCAAGCCTTTGTCTGACCGTCCGCTATAATGGGAAATAATGATGGTTAAATTTACAAAACGAAAAAAAAAATGTTAGATTCCAAAAGTCCTTAAAAGAGGATTTAAAGTATATTATTTTGCCTTGCAGAGTTATTAAGCGTCATTTAATCATCGACAACCAAAATACTGTTACGAAAAAACTCATACACCGTCCCAATACGACGCCCATGGGTTCTACTCGTAGAATGAACGGCGACGATGACTCGTCGTGCGGTGTCAGGATGCCCGAGCGGCGGTCGCTAAAGAAAGGTCTGGCGGCGGAAGTCGCGATGGATTCCAGAAAAAGCTCGGTAACGAAACCTCTAGAAGGAGATTATGCGTTTAAATAGGAGCCACCTTCGGGAACGATTATTATTCAGTCGAGTGTCGAGAAAACCCAGTCAAGTTGCGCCGGAGTTATTTTGTACATAATCGCTCTGTAATTAGTCGTGTAAATCCGTGTAGCTAAAAAATAAATTGTTGAAGAATGACTCGATTACAAATTATAATTGTATAATTTCAAGCAAATATTAGAAACATAGAAAAGTAAACGACAGTCTGGAACAAAAACTCCTATTGCGTTTCCCAGAAACTAAGAAGATCACGAAATATAGACATAGGGACTCCCGTCAAGGTGGACCATCGTACCTAAACTAAAGTAGAGCACACCGCTTTTAGCCTCATCTGGAAATGTTTGTTTGGGTTTAAGTCCCAGAAGTCCCAATTCTAGTACCGCTGACACATTTGGTCTACCATTTGGAGTCTGAACACTAGTACCACATGGTAGTACCAAAAATAGTAATTTACTGGTGTCTCTGATGAGAAGCGAAATTGTTGAGAACAATTTTGTTGTTATTACAATTGCAATCAAGCAACTTCTTTAAAACTCTTTTTTAAATAGTTTTGAAACTAAACTTTTAAAAAGGAAGGTTTAGAATACTTGCTACATTATAGTTTTAAAATTATTTAAGCACACTTCCTTTCACACTGTTTAACACTAGAATAATCAGACTATAAATTAAAAGAACAATTGTCGCTACTAGAACAATAATAAACATAACAACATCTAAGAAAAAATAACTAAACTGAGACATATGAACAGCCGGATTTTGAAAGTGTTTCGTACCCCCATGTTTAATCACATACTCTGACCACCAGATAACATCTTCTAATCCACTTCGTGGTTTATCGAAAACGACCCCCCGTACTTTCCTCATGTTGTCTTTATACCTGGAAAACTCAAGTTTAATTCATCTACCCGCAACCCCAGACACATACATCCTAGATCCAGCTACTTTAACAATAACTTCTTTCAGCTTTTTGGCAGTAATAGACGTCGCATTAATTTGTTCACCTATCCCTAAAGCCACAAACTTGCGAACATTTTCCGATTGATCGCCATAAAACGGTATACCAACAATTGGGACCTCCCTAGAAACGGTTTCTTCAATCGAATGCAACCCTCCATGTGTCACAAAAACCTTAACATTACTATGCGCTAGAAAATGAGATTGAAGAAACAAAACCTTAAGAACGAAACACACCTAGAAGGTCTTTCTGCGGAAACCATTTTCTAATAACCACATTAGTGGGTAGTTTAGATAAATCAACGTCACATTTGAGTAAAACTTGATAAGGAAGTTCGGCCAAAGCTTGTAAAATATTGTCTCGGATTTGTGGTTCCAAGCGGGACATTCTTACGTTGGTGCCTAAACTAAAATAAACCACGCCGGTTTTAGCGTCATCTAAAATTTTTTGCAGATCCTGAAACAGTGCGTTCTATATTTGAAACGAAAAGTGTGATTTAGGTACTTCTGGTAAAGGTTTAGGTGGGTGGTACTCCACGGGTAAAATTTCAACCACTGCAGGTACATTTGGTCTCAAACTTTGTAGTTGGTAGTGTCTGTTAATCAAAAACATGGTGGCGTTCTTCTCGAACTCGCCAATGGGTGCTACATCCCCGAAATGCTTCTTGGCTAGCTCATCAGCTTTAGGCAGAACCACATTCTGGTAGTAGTACCTGTGCCACACAAAAAAAGCCAGACTTTGAACCTTTTCCCACAGCGTCATGTCTCCAGCGGGAAGGTTTACGATAAAATCGGGGTACAAAACTGGATGGTTCGCATTACCCACAGCATCATAATGGGCGCTGTAAATACTCATCGATACAATCCCAATTACCGGTGCTTTAAATTTTCCAGATAATGCGTGCATTACTGGATGCATTAGTTCCACAAGAATCAAGTCGAACGTCCTGTTATGATCCCCAAGCAAATTTTTAAACGAAGGACTGCTTAATTCTCTGTCTGCGATAGTTTCCAAAAGTTCATAATAACTTCGCATTATGTCGTAGGAAGTCAGGTCTTTGGAACACATCTTTTGGACATTTTTCTCTTCCAAGACGTCATAGGCGCAGCGAACGTCGATTTCTGAGAGGTTTGTTAAAGCGGGGTTGTTAACGGTGTCAGGTGTTACAAAGGTGACGTGGTGACCCCGTAACGACAGTTCTTGCATGATTTTGTGGTAGACCAATTGGTGACTGATGGAAGGGTACATGAATACCCCCAGGATATTGGCACAGTTGGCTGTACCAATGACAAGTAGAAGGGTTATAATGTACATATTTTGCTGTTGACCTTTCTTAGTTATTTAATTATATACGGGCTACTTTATAGACCCTTTGTTCGACTATCACTACAATGGTGAAATAACAGTGTCTTTACAACCAAGTAAATTTGAATTTATTGCTGTATTTGCGTTTAAAACTAGATAAAATAGAATTTAAAATAAGTATATTATTATGTAGTGGACAGTTTTATGTCTTTTTTTTTGGTTTGACATGTTATTAAACTGAAAAATGGGACTAAATTTTGGTTCGTATCTGTACACTACATCAATGTTAAAAACATTAATTTTGTAACCTCATGGCGATTAGAGATAATTTTAGCATAATATTATAGTAGACCATTGCGTGACTGATCGAAAAACGCTCCTAATTTATTAGCACATCGTGCAGTAGTAATAAATAATGAAAATAAAGTTGATAAATATATAATTACCGCTGCTCGTGTAGATTAGATGTAGGTTATACAGTATTTTCTTATTTCCAAGTATTTTAACAACCAAGCTTAAGTTTTATTAAACACCTGATAAGTTGAAGCAGGTTGTAGATACATAGAAGAGTAAACACTATTTCGTCTCTCAGAAAGTACGAAAGCCACGAAATATCGACATTGATATTCCTAAAATGTGGAGCTCCTTTATGGCGAATGATGTTTTGCGTCCACCAAACAGCTTTTTCCGTTAAAACTGTAGGCTTGTCGAGTAAAATTTAGGGACTTTCTACAAATCTGTCTCTATATCTGTAAAATTTAAGAGTTACTCGAGATTCTTTCAAACTACTTCAAAAACCAGACACAAGTGATCCCCGAGATACTTCAAAATACTACAAGAACAGGCACACGAGGTTCCAAAGATACTTAAAACTAATTCAAAAACAAGAAATAAGTGTTTACCGATTTTTTTTAAACTACTTGATAAACTAGACACAAGGGGTACTCGCGATTCTTTGAAAGTACTTCAGAAAAAAAAAACACAAGTGGTCCCCGAGATAAGTCAAACTACTTCAAACACCAGACACAGGAGGACCACGAAATTTTTTCAAACTACCTCAAAAACTAGACAATAAGATCTCAGAAATTCTTACAAACCACTTCAAAAATACACACAAGTAGTCCCCGAGATTTCTTGAAGCTACTTCATAAACAAAATACAAGGAGTCCCCAAGATACTTAAAAATAATTCTAGAACAAAACACAAGGGGTTCCCGAGATTATTTCAACCCACTTTAAAAAAATACAAGAAGTCCCTGAGACACTTAAAACTACTTCAATAACAAGACGCAAGTGGTCCCCGAGTTACTTCAAATTACTTCAAAAATTAGACACCAGAGGTCCCCGAGACACTTAAATTTACTCCAAAAACCAGACACAAAAGGTCCCCGAAATTATTTCAAACTACTTCAAAAACCAGACACAAGAGATCCCCGAGATACTTAATATTGCTTCAAAAACCTGACACAAGAGATCCCCGAGATTTTTACAAACCACTCAAGAGATTCCTTGAAGAACACGATACAAGAGATTCTGTCAACCCACTTCAAAAAAAAAGTCGTCGAGATACTTAGAATTTCTTCAAAAACCAGACGCTAGAGGTCTCCGAGATCCTTTTAAACTACTTCAAAAATCAGACACAAAAGATCTCCGAGATAGATAAAAATTCCTTAAAAACAAGTCACAAGATGTCCCCGAGATACTTAAAACTACTTCAAAAAGCAGACACAGGAGGTCCTCGAGACACTTAAAACTACTTCAAATACAAGACACAAGAGATCCCCGAGATACTTAATATTGATTCAAAAACCTGACACAAGAGATCCCCGAGATTTTTACAAACTACTCAAAAAACACACACAAGTGTCCCCGAGATTCCTTAAAGCTACTTCAAAAACAAAATTCAAGGAGTCCCCGAGATACTTAAAACTATTTGAAGAGCACGACACAAGAGATTCTGTCAACCCACTTCAAAAAAAAAAGTCGTCGAGATACTTAGAATTTATTCAAAAACCAGACGCTAGAGGTCTCCGAGATCCTTTTAAACTACTTCAAAAATCAGACACAAAAGATCTCCGAGATAGATAAAAATTCCTTAAAAACAAGACACAAGATGTCCCCGAGATACTTAAAACTACTTCAAAAAGCAGACACAGGAGGTCCTCGAGACACTTAAAACTACTTCAAATACAAGACACAAGAGATCCCCGAGATACTTAATATTGATTCAAAAACCTGACACAAGAGATCCCCGAGATTTTTACAAACTACTCAAAAAACACACACAAGTGTCCCCGAGATTCCTTAAAGCTACTTCAAAAACAAAATTCAAGGAGTCCCCGAGATACTTAAAACTATTTGAAGAACACGACACAAGAGATTCTGTCAACCCACTTCAAAAAAAAAAGTCGTCGAGATACTTAGAATTTATTCAAAAACCAGACGCTAGAGGTCTCCGAGATCCTTTTAAACTACTTCAAAAATCAGACACAAAAGATCTCCGAGATAGATAAAAATTCCTTAAAAACAAGACACAAGATGGTCGCCGAGGCACTTAAAACTACTTCAAAAACCAGATACAAAAGATCTCCGACATAGATAAAATTTCCTTAAAAGCCAGACGCAAGAGGTCCCCGAGATACTTCAAACTACTGCAAAAGTCTGACAAATAAAGTCCCCTACATTCTTTCAAACTACCTAAAAAACAAAACACAAGGAGTTCCCGAGATCCTTAAAACTACTTCAAAAACCAGACACAAGAGTCTCCCCGAGATTCTTTCAAACTCGTTCAAAAACTAGACAAAAGAGGTCTCCGAGATTCTTTAAAACTACTTCAAAAACCAGACACAAGATGTCCAAGAGATTCTATCAAACTTCTTCAAAAACTAGAGACAAGCGGTCCCCGAGATTCTGTTAAACCACTTTAAAAACCAGATATAAGATTTCTCCGAAATTCTTTCAAACCACTTCAAAATCAAAACACAAGGTGTTCCCAAGATTCTTTCAAACTACTTCAAAAAATATTTCCTTGAAGCTACTTCCTAAACAAAATACAAGGAGTCCTCGAGATACTTAAAAATACTTGAAGAACAAGACACAAGGGGTCCACGAGATTCTTTCAACCCACTTCAAAAAGAAAATACAAGGAGTCCCCGAGATACTTAAAAGTACTCCAACAACCAGACACAAGAGATCCCTGAGATACACAAAATTTCTTTAATACCCGGACACGAGAGGTCCCCGAGATACTTAACACTACTTCAAAAAGCAGGCACAAGAGTTCCCCGAGACACTTAAATCTACTACAATAACAAGACACAAGTGGTCCCCGAGATACTTCAAATTACTTCAAAAATCAGACACAAAAGATCCCCGAGATACTTAATATCACTTCAAAAACCAGACACAAGAAGTCTCCGAGATTCTTTAAAACTACTTCAAAAACAAAACAAAAGATGTCCACAAGATTCTAACAAACTTCTTCAAAAACTAGAGGCAAGAGGTCCACGAGATTGTATTAAACTACTTCAAAAACCAGATACAAGATTTTTCTGAAATTCTTTCAAACTAATTCAAAAACAAGACGTAAGTGGTCCGTGAGATACTTTAATTTACTTTAAAAATCAGACACCAGAGGTCCCCGAGACACGTAAAACTACCTGAAAAACCGGACACAAAAATTCCCGAGATACTTAAAACTACTTCAAAAACCAGACACAAACGATCCCCGAGATTCTTTCAAACTACTTCAAAAACCAGACACAAATGATCCCCGAGACACTTAAAACTACTTCAAAAGCCAGACACAAATGTTCCCCGAGATATTTCAAATTACTTCAAAAACAAGACGGCAGAGGTCCACGAGATACTCAAAACTACTGCAAAAATCTGACAAATAAAGTCCCCTAGATTCTTTCAAACTACCTAAAAAACAAAACACAAGGAGTTCCCGAGATCCTTAAAACTACTTCAAAAACCAGACACAAGAGTTTCCCCGAGATTCTTTCAAACTCGTTCAAAAACTTGACAAAAGAGGTCTCCGAGATTCTTTAAAACTACTTCAAAAACCAGACACAAGATGTCCCCGAGATTCTATCAAAGATATAAGATTTCCCCGAAAATCTTTCAAACCACTTCAAAATCAAAACACAAGGTGTTCCCAAGATTCTTTCAAACTACTTCAAAAAATATTTCCTTGAAGCTACTTCGTAAACAAAAGACAAGGAGTCCTTGAGATACTTAAAAATACTTGAAGAACAAGACACAAGGGGTCCACGAGATTCTTTCAACCCACTTCAAAAAGAAAATACAAAGAGTCCCCGAGATACTTAAAAGTACTTCAACAACCAGACACAAGAGATCCCTGAGATACACAAAATTTCTTTAATACCCGGACACAAGAGGTCCCCGAGATACTTAACACTACTTCAAAGAGCAGCCACAAGAGTCCCCCGAAGATTCTTTCAAACTCGTTCAAAAACTAGACAAAAATGGTCTCCGAGATTCTTTAAAACTACTTCAAAACCAAATACTATATTTTTCTGAAATTCTTTCAAACCACTTCAAAAACAAGACAAAGTGTGTTCCCGAGATTTTCAAACTACTTTAAAAAATAGACACAAGTGGTCCCCGACATTCCTTGAAGCTACTTCATAAACAAAATACAATGAGTCCCCGAGATACTTAAAACTACTTCAAAAGGCAGACACAAGAGATCCCCGAGACACTTAAAACTACTTCAATAACAAGACACAAGTGGTCCCCGAGATATTTCAATTTACTTCAAAAATTAGACACAAGAGGTCCCCGAACACCAGAGGTCCCCGAGACAGTTAAAACTACTTCAAAAACCAGACACAAAATGTCCCCGAGATACTCATAAATACTTCAAAAACACAACATAAGAGGTTCCCGAGATTCTTTTAAATTACTTAAAAAAAAAACACAAGTGGCCCCCGAGATAATTCAAACTGCTTGAAAAACCAGACACAGGAGGTCCCCGAGATTCTTACAAATTACTCAAAAAATACACACAAGTATCCCCGGGATTCCTTGAAGCCACTTCATAAACAAAATACAAGGAGTCCCCTAGATACTTAAAAGTACTTCAACAACCAGCCACTGGCGGTCCCCGAGATTCTTTTAAACTACTTCAAAAACCAGACACAAGAGATCCCTAAGATACATAAAATTTCTTTAGTACCCAGACACAAGAGGTCCCCGAGACACTTAAACTACTTCAAAAACCAGACACAAAATTTCCCGAGATACTTAAAACTACTACAAAAACAGGCACACGAAGTCTCCGAGATACTTAAAACTACTTCAAAAACAAGACATAGGAATTTCCCGAGATTCTTTTAAATTACTTGATAAACTAGACACAAAAAGATACTGGCGATTCTTTAAAAGTACTTCAGTAAAAGACACAAGTAGCCCCCGAGATAATTCAAACTCTCCGAAATACTTACAATCTAGTACTTAAAAAAATATACACATGTGGTCCCCGAGATTCCTTGAAGCCACTTCAAAAATAAAATACAAGGAGTTCTCGAGATTCTTAAAACTACTTGTAAACAAGGCATGAAGTATCCCCGAGATTCTTTCAACCCACTTCAAAAAAAAAAAAGTCCTCGAGATACTTAGACGTACTTCAAAATCCAGACTCTAGAAGTCCCCGAGATTCTTTTAAACTATTTCAAAAACCAGACACAAAAGATCTTCGAGATAGATCAAATTTCCTTAAAAACCAGAAACAGACGTGTTGTTTCGAGATACTTAAATCTACTTCAAAAAGAATACACAAGAGGTCCCAGAGACACTTAAAACTACTCCAAATACAAGATACAAGTGGTCGCCGAGACACTTAAAACTACTTCAAAAACCAGACAAAAAAGATCCCTTGAGACGCCTCAAACTACTTCAAAAACCAGACACAAGAGGTAACAGAGATCCTTTCAAACTACTTCAAAAGCCAGACAAAAAAAGTTCCCGAGATTCTTTCAAACTACTTCAAAAATAAAACACAAGAAGTCCTCGAGATACTTAAAACTACTTCAAAAACCAGACACAAGATGCCCTTGAGACTCTATGAAAATTCTTCTTAAAAATTAGAGACAAGTGGTCCCCGAGATTCTACTAAACTACTTACTTCAAAAACCAGATACAAGATTTCTCCGAAATTCTTTCATACCACTTCAAAAACAAGACACAAGATGTTCAAGAGATTGTTTCAAACTACTTCAAAAACATTTCATGATTCAGTGAAAAGTAACACTTTGTTTGATTGTCGACTATATTGTGAAATAATTATGTTTTTTTCGCATGTTATTAAACTTGATTTAATCACCGATCACCTAAATCCTTTTCAAGGATGACTCGATTACAAATTATAATTAAATAATTTGAGCAGATAGTAGAAACAAAGACACGTAGACGCCAATCCTACAACAAAAAGCGCTATTACGTCCCCCAGAAGGTAAGAAAACCACGAAATATCGACATTGAGACTCCTCAAATGTGGAGCTCCTTTATGACGAATGATATATTCCATCCACCAAATAGCTTTTTCTGTTGAAACTGTAGCCTTGTCGAGTAAAACACCCCGAATTTCTACAACTCTGTCTCTATATCTGCAAAATTTAACTGTATCTAAACCCCAAACAGGTATTTAAAGAAAATTACGTTCGGTTTTCTGCAACTTCGACAACACAATCTTTCAGTTCGTCTGGAGTTACGGTCACTGGATTCAGTGCTTTTCCAATTCCTTGTTTGACGAGTTTGTACACGTTCATTGGTTGGTCTACCAGGAATGGTAGCGCTACAAGTGGTACTCTTGCAGATATAGATTCTTCCAAAGACTGCAGACCTCCTTGAGTCACAAACACCTTCAAATTTGGATGTTCTACAAATCGTGATTAACTAGAGATAGGTTTTGGTGTTTGCTCACCTAGAATTTGGGTTTGAGGCAGCCACTCCCTACATAGAATGTTGGTATAATTATGAAGCAAAGTGCTACAGTTCCATTTAATGATCACTTTGTATGGTACTCGAGCTAAGCCTTCTAGAATCGTTCGACCTATTGAAGAACCTTCAAGGTGGACCAGCGTGCCTAAACTAAAATAGACCACACCACTTTTAGCCTGATCTAGAAATGTTTGTAGATCTTCTCTCAAAGTTTCTTTGGGTTTAAGCCCCATTTGTCCCAGTTCTAGTACCGCTGGCACGTTTGGTCTAGGATGATACACCACTCGATTAACATTAAGCAGAAACAACTTGACACTTTTTTCCCCGTCTAGAGTGTCTCCTATCTCGTGCCCGAACACCGACTTTGCTAGTACTGCACCACGTGGTAGTACCACAAACTCGTACCAAAACCGTGACCACAAATTCAACAAAACCAACTCGCTTTGGTGCCACAAGTCAAGATCTGGGTGGTGCAAAGTCACGAAAAATTCTCTATACAAAGTGGGGTGGCTTGGATTACCCACCACGTCTTGAAAAACCGTTAGAGCTCCAAGTGACGACACACAAGCTATAGGGGCTTGAAATTTCCGGGATAGACCATACAGAACTGGGTAAAGGCATTCCAGAATAATTAGGTCAAAATTTTCGGCACAAGTCTCTAGGAAGTTTTTGAAACTTGGGTGGGTGAGTGCAGTCGCGGCTATGAAGTCCATGTAATTGACAATGTTGTGGAAATCTTCAAACATGTTGATTTCTTTGGACAAAAAGTCTGGGGGTGCGTGTTGTGTGTTGTCGTGCTGGAAGCTGATGTTAATTTCGGTTAGGTTGGTTAGGTTTGGGTCGTTTAAGGGGGTTGTGGTACACACGGTGACGTCGTGGCCTCGTAGGGATAGGTCGCGCCAGATGGGCTGAAAGACTTTTTGGTGACTGTATGATGGAAACAAGAAGACTCCTAGGATTCGAGCACTAAAAGCACAAGGTAGAAAGATTAACAAGAAAAGACACACCATGTTTCGGGTTCTTGAAGTACGTATATGGTCTAAATTTAATTGCGGTGAGACAGGTAACAACATTTTTTAAAGTTTGACGCAATAATAATATAGAATAGAAACAAAAGAATTACGCACGAACCAAGGTATAATTTACAACGTCAATCAGTATGGTGTATTAGTCACGACAAGACCACAATCGTTTTTTCAAAGGGTGACTCGACTACAAATTAGTAACAAAAGTTTTGCAGACGATTTATTTTATTAACAAGTATGATATAATTCCATTTTCGAGCTAACTAGAGTATCCAAGTGTCATTAGTACAATAAAAGACAAAATGTGGATCGTCGCCAAAATAAAAAACCAGAAGATCTGCAGACTCCTCTCTCTTTTCCTCTCTCTCTTTCCCTCAGTCGTAAATTTCAAAAACATGGCAACAAAACTAGACTTTACGTGCGTCAGAAGTTTGTTTCAGTGAACACCATATTTCACAAGTAACTATAATTTCGTGCCCTACTACGAACCCGATTAGATAAGCCCTGAAGGTTGCCATTATTAACTTTTACAACCGCTGAGTCATACTTTTTGCAATGCAAATATTCCACGGCCTGTTTTCCACGTAGACATTCAGTCCTCGGACTTCTGAACAGAAAATCGAACCAAAAAATGTACTCTCTGGCCATTTTTGCCACCCTAATTGGCACCATCCACAGTGCCAATATTCTAGGTGTGTTTATGTACCCATCCCCCAGCCACCAAGTCGTGTTTCAACAAATCTGGCAAGAACTCTCTCTTCGTGGCCACCAAGTCACTGTGGTAACCCCAAACCCTCTGAACAACTCCACCTTAACCAACCTAACCGAAATCAGTGTCAATTTCATCTACGACGAAGTCGCTAGTTTCATCTATGAAGACCATTCGAGCCCTTATAAAGCCACAGAAACCTACTACAACACCTTACACTTGATTGCATGGAAGGAACTCAATAGCCCTCAGTTCCAGAAACTGATCCGGGACCAAACCAAGTCCTACGATTTGATCCTAATCGAGTATGTACACCCAGTAATGTACGCTCTAATGCACAGGTTCCAAGCACCCGTCATTGCGATAGCAGCGTCTGAAATACCCAGCGCTTCGTACGACGCTGTTGGTAACCCAAACCACCCCATTTTGTATCCAGAGCCGATCCTGAATTTCACCCCAGCGCGGCTAACTCTATGGGAGAAATGCCAGAGTGTGTTGTTCTTCGTCTGGAGCAAAATCTACTACCACAATACCGTGGTACCACACGCCCACGAAACGGCAAAGAAAATTTTCGGGGAAGATGTTCCTTATATTGGGGATCTGGAAAGAAATGTCAGTATGTTCTTTATCAACAGGAACTTGTTGTTGAATCCTCCTAGAGCCAACGTGCCTGCGATTGTAGAAATTTCACCCATTGATACCACGCCACCTAAAACTTTACCCAGAGTGAGTATTTTAGGTTTTGGGGTACCACTACAAGAGTTGTTTCAGGACTTGCGAAAAATTTTGGACGAAGCTAGAGAAGGTGTGATCTATATTAATCTACACGGTGTGACTAGTGCAAAATTTAACAAAAAACGGGTTACTATTTTGCAAGCTTTGTCTGAGCTACCATACAAGATTCTATGGAAGTGGGACTACGACCAAGAGACACCGTCAAACATTGTCGTGCGAAAATCAATCCCGGAGAGGGATCTTCTAGGTAAAAAAATTGCTAGTTTGGTCAATGGTGTCAAACAAACTCGTTTCTAGCTCATCGCAATGTCAAAGCATTCGTCACTGAGGGTGACATCCACTCCATAGAAGCAGGAATTTCGAACGAAGTACCGCTAATAATCGTCACGTTTATGCAAAACAAACCCTCGAACGTCAAGAGGGTCCTCAAACTAGGTATTGGCGGAAAAATCAACCTGGACACTCTAACGAAGACCAAGCTGAAGAACATTGTCGTCAAAGTTGCTGAAACAAGATCGTAAGTTTTGTATTTATTTTGGCCAGATGGTCTTACGTTTGGTTACAGATATAGAACTAAAATTAAAGAAGCTAAGAATATTTTGTTGGATAAACCCATGACGGGGCTGGAGAGTGCCGTTTGGTGGTCGGAATATGTTATTAGGCATAAAGGGGCGAGGCATATGAGGAGTTTTGCTGTCGATATGCCCATGTACAAGTATCTTCTGTTGGATGTTATATTGTTTTTGGTTCTTTTGGTTACTTTGTTTCCGTATCTATGTTACTGTGTTGTCGTCAAAGTGGTGAAGAAATTGATGAGTAAAAAGAAATCTGCAGAGAAAGAAAAGAAAAATTAGATAGTAGTTTGAGTTATGTTGTAGTTGAGTTTGTAGTAAGAAATGTGTGGATGGGTTTAGGGAGTATACAATAATATGTGTTATGACAACCTATGATTTTTTTGTTTGTCTAATCACCCATGCTCCGCCATTGTCTATGATTCGAACGTCTTATATTAGTGCACTTGTCTGGAAAAGATTTGCCTCAATTTGTGTTTCCCTTAAATTTAAATTCGCGTTTAACTAAAGTTGTTGGAAACAAATTTTCAGTTCTCAGATATGATTTTTTGAAAAATTGAAAGATCAAGCAATCGAAACACCAAAAAATCGAGACATGGAAAAATTGAAAAATTGATCGAAATATCGAAATATGGAGAAATCGAAAAGTCGAGAAGTCGCAAAATCGAAAAGTTGAGATATCACTATAGCCCAAAATCCAAAAATAGAAAAGTAGAAAATTTCAAACATTTAAGATTATAAAAAATTGGTAAATGGAAAAATCGAGATATTTCTCGATTTTTCGATTTGCCATTTCTGGAAATCTCGATAAATCGAGAAATAAAAAATAATTAAAAAAATCCGAAAAACCGACAATTTGAAAAATTTGAAAACCGAAAAAAATTAGAAACAAAAAAATCGGAAATTTAAAATGGAAAAAATGGAAAACTGAGAAGTCCGAAGACTGAAATCAAAACATAAAAAAATAAAATTTAAAAATTCGAAAAAATGAAAAATAGAAACATAAAACTATTGAAAACCGAAAATTTGGAAAATCGAGAAATTGAGAAATAGAGGAATCAAAACATCGAAAAATTACAAAATCGAAAAATAAAAGACGAAAAGTCCAAAAAACTATAAACCAAAAAATATAAAAATAGAAATATCGAAAAATCAAAAAAAAAAGTCGAAAAATCGGAAAATTGAGACATCGAAACAGACCAGAATCGAAAATGGAAAAGTTAAAAATCAAATAATTGAGAAAATTAAAATTTAAAAAATTGACAAATCGAAAAATCTAAAAATTCGAAAAATTGAAAAATAGAAACATCGAAGAACTGAAGAATCGAAAAATTGAGAAATCGAAAAATATTAAATTTTAAAATTAAAAAATTAAAGTAGTCTAAAAGTTGAAGAATTTAAAAATTGAAAAATCGGGAAATCGAAACAACAAAAAATCGAAAAATTGCAACATCTAAAATTTAAAAAATTAAGATATCGAAACTGAAAAATCGGAAAACCGAGAAATTGAAAAAATGAGAAATCGAAACATCAAAAAATTACAAAATCGAAAAATATAAAATTTAAAAATTCGAAAAAATGAAAAATAGAAACATTAAACTAATGAAAAACCGAAAAATTGGAAAATCGAGAAAATGAGAAATAGAAAAATCAAAACATCGAAAAATTACAAAATCAAAAAATAAAAGACGAAATGTCCAAAAAACTATAAACCAAAAATCTAAAAATAGAAATATCGAAAAATCAAAAAAAAGTCGAAAAATCGGAAAACTGAGACATCGAAACAGAGCAAAATCGAAAATGGAAAAGTTAAAAATCAAATAATTGAGAAAATTAAAATTTTAAAAATTGACAAATCGAAAAATCCAAACATTGAAAAATCGAGAAATGAACAACCGAAAAATCGAAAACTCGATAAATTTAAAAATCTAAAAACTGACAACTCGTAAATTTAAAAATCTAAAGATTCGAAAAACTGAAAAATAGAAATATCGAAGAATTGAAGAATCGAAAAATTGAGAAATCGAAAAATCTTGAATTTTAAAAATTAAAAAATTAAAATAGTCTAAAAATTGAAGAATTTAAAAATTGAAAAATCGAAAAATCGAAACAACAAAAAATCGAAAAATTAAAAATCGCGGAATTAAACAATCGAAAAATCGTAACAGAAATCGAGAAATTGAAAAAATCAGAAATCGAGAAACTAAACAATCGAAAAATCGAAACATAGAAATCGAGAAATCGGGATATTGAAAAATCTGAAAACTGACAAATTTAAACACCGAAAGACTAAAAAATAGAAAATCAAAATTTTAAAAATTGAAAAACCGAAAAATCTTAAAACCAAGAACTCGAAAACTTCTTTCTAAGTTTCCGATTTCTCAATTTCTAGATTAATTGTTTTTTTATTTTTCGACTTTATGGTTTCTCGATTTTTCAAAGTTTGGACTTTTCAATTTTTTGATTTTCCCATTTCTATATTTATTGACTTTTAATGCTTCGATTTCTCGACTTGTCGGTCTTTCAGTTTTTTAATTCTTCAATTTTTCGATTTTTCGGGTTCAATTTTTCGACATTTTAAGAGTAAAATTTTCTTCGGTTTTTAAGTTTTTCGATATTTCAGTTTTAGGAATTTCAAATTTTAGACTTTTAAATTTGTAGATTTTTTGATGTTTCTTTAATTTTCCGATTTTTTTGTTTCTTCAATTTTGCGATATTTTAATTCTTCAATTTCTAAAATTTTAAATTTTCTTCCTTGATTTTTAAATTTGATTGTTTCAGTTTTTTTATGTTTAAATTTCTCGATCTTTCCCTCGGTTATAGATTTTTCGGTTGATTAATTTTTGGATATTTAATTTCTCGATATTTTAATTTTTCTATTTCTTGGGTTTTCAATTTTTCAACTTCACGATTTTCAATTTTTCGGTTACTTGATTTTTCGATTTTTCAGTGTTGGGATTTTTCAATTTTTCCATTCTTGAAATTTTCGATTTCCCAATTTTACGATGTTTCAGTTGTGCGATTCTTCATTTTTTCGATTTCTCATTTTTTTTTATTTTTCGACTTTACAGCTTCTCGATTTTTCAAAGTTTCGACTTTTTGATTTATTGACTTTTTAATGTTTCCATTACTTGACTTCTCGATTTTTCGCTTTTTGAATTCAATTTTTCGATTATTGAAATTTTCGATTTTTCAGCTTGGATTTTTCGACTTTTTGAATATGAAATTTTCTTCGATTTTTTAATTTTTAGATATTTCAGATCAAGGATTATTATTCTTAAATTTTAGGTTTTTTAAAATTTATGATTTTTCGATGTTTCGTCAATTTTTTGAAATTTTTATTTTTCAATTTCTAGTATTTAGATTCCTAGATTTTTAAATTTAATTTTTCAGTTTTTTGACGTTTCGATTTCTTGATCTTACGCTTTTTCGAGTCAAAAATTGAAAAATTGAAAAATCGAAAAGCTAAGAAATTGAAAAATTTTTAATTTTAAATATTCAAAAATTAAAATAGGCTAAAAAAATGAAGAATTTAAATATTGAAAAATCAAGAAACCGAAACATCAAAAAATCGAATAATTAAAAATCGCGGAATTAAACAATCGAAAAATCGTAACAGAAATCGAGAAATCGAAAAATTTAAAAATCTGAAACCTGATAAATTTAAGCACCGAAAGACTGAAAAATCGAAAAATTAAAATTTTAATAATAGAAAAACATAAAAATCATAAAACGAAGAAGTCGCAAACTTCTTTCTAAATTTTAGATGTTTCGATTTCTGGATTAATTAATTTTTTTGATTTGTCGACTTTACGGTTTCTCGATTTTCAACGTTTCGACTGTTCGATTTTTTTATTTTCCAAATTTTCGGATGATTCAGGTGTGCGATTTTTCAGTTTTTCGATTCCTCATTTTTTTTTAATCTTAAATTTTCCGATTTTTGAATTTTTCAATTTTTGACAGTTCTAAATTTTCGATTTCTCAATTTCTAGCTTAATCCATTTTTTTTTTATTTTTCAACTTCTCGATTTTTCGACATTTCGACTTTTCCAATTTTACATTTCTCGATTTATCGACTTTTTAATGTTTGCATTTCTTGACATCTCGATTTATCGACTTTTTAATGTTTGCATTTCTTGACATCTCGATTTTTCACTTTTGAATTCAATTTTTCGATTTTTAAAATTTTGACTTTTAGATTTTTTGGATCTTTTTTGAGTCTTTCAGTGTTCAGAAAAAAATCTTAAAACCAAGAAGTCGAAAACTTCTTTCTAAATTTTCGTTTTTTTCAATTTCTGGATTAATTGATTTTTTTAATTCTTCAGTTTTTCGATTTTTAAAATTTTTCTATTTTTCGCCTTCGATTTTTAACTCTTTCGATGTTTCACTTTTGGGATTTTCCAATTTTTTAAGTATGCGATTTTCCTCGACTTTCAGTTTTTTGATATTTCAATTTTGGAATTTTTAAATTCTTAGATTTTTTGAAGTTTCTTCAATTTATCGATGTTTTAATTTCTCAATTTCTAATTAATGTTTTAGATTTTCTTCCTTTCAAAATTGGTTTTTTCAGATTTTTGACATTTCAGATTCTCCATCTTCCGAGTTTTCCACATCTCGGTTTTAGATTTTTCGGTTTTTCAATTTTTAAAACTTTTGAATTTTCGATGTTTAAATTTTTCGATTTCTCAGTTTTCAGATTTTTTTAATCTTTCAATCTCTCGATTTATCCAGATTTCTGTTTCGATTATTACTAATTAATTTTTCGATTTTTTATTTCTCGATTTTTTAATTTTTCTATGTTTAGATTTTTAGGGTTTTCAGTTTTTCAATTTCACTATCTTCAATTTTTCTATTACATAACTTTTTGATATTTCAGTTTTGAAATTTTTCAATTTTTCCATTCTTCAAATTTTCGATTTCTCAGTTTTTTCGATTTCCCAATTTTCCGATGGTTCGTTCAATTGTGCGATTTTTCAGTTTTTCGATTTCTCAGTTATTAACTGTTTCGAATTTTGAATTTTTCAATTTCTGAGGGTTCTAAATTTTCGATTCTCAGTTTCTGTATTAACCCATTTTTTTTATTTTTCGACTTTACGGTTTCTCGATTTTTCAACTTTGGATGTTTAGATTTTCTTCCTTTTAAATTTGTTTTTTTCAGGTTTATGATGTTTAAATTTCTCGATCTTTCAATTTTTCGACTTCCCGGTTTTGGTTTTTTAACTTCTAAAATTTTTGATTTTTCAATTTTTTAGTTTTTCGGTATGTAAATTTTTCAGTTTGTTAGTTTTCAGATTTTGCAATATTTCGATTTCTCAATTTATCCAGATTTCTGTTTCGATTTTTCGATTGATTAATTTTTTGATTTTTAATT